GGCCCCCGGCCCCTGGACCTCCTGGACCTCCTGGCCCTCCTGGACCTCCAGGACCTCCTGGACCTCCTGCCGGCTCCGGCGTCCTGCCGCCAAGGGTCCCGAAGTCGGGCGGCGCCACGCCCCCAACCTCGGCGACCCGCTTGAGGAATCGAATCAATGAGCCTTTCTGCAGGCCCGTGAGAAGAGCGCCCTCGAGCACGCAGGCATCAAGAGCCCCGCTCAAATCCGACATGCGCACCTCCAGCAAGTCCGTGACTGACAACTCCTCGTAATTGCCCCCGAGCTGCTCCACGAAGGCGGACACCATCGCGGGGTTCCCGCCCAAGGTGGCGGTGAGCGCCTGCACCCGAAGCGGCACGGAAGCTGGTGGCCCGCCGGCTTCGACTCCCAGGCTGCCGGCCGCGGGGCGGATGGTCGGAGTAGCCGGGGCACCCCCTCCAACTGCCGCTCCTCCCTCCCCGAACCACGACATCGGACGTCCCCCCGAATGGGTCGAGGGAGAAAGGAGGAAAAGAATTGGGCCTTCGTCCCCAAAATCCCTTGAGCCAAAATGGCTACGGTGCCATCGACCGCTCCATTTGTTCCTGCCTGCACACGTGCACTCCCCGACAAACACAGACACAATGTATCGTCGACTCACCCCCCCAACAAAAAAACGAAAATCTGGAAAGCGGGGGGTGAACACAAAAACCCAGAAGATATTGGAAATCTGGGGAATCATGGGATTTGTGTACGTGTTTGGGTGTCCCTGGGCCCCTTCAGTGGAGAGAGGGGGCCGACGGCGGTTGGGCGAAGCCGTCTGCCGAGCTCTCCGAAGACCGGCCTCCCGGGCGGTGGGTACGGCTAATTCCCAGCCTCGGAACGAAGCCTCCTGGACCATGTTAGCGTCTCCTCGAGAGGAGGAGGAGGAGGGGGAGGAGGAGGAGGAGGAGGAAGAGGAGGAGAAGGAAGAAGAGGAGGAGGAGGAGGAGGATATGTTTCCCGCAGCGCACTCATCACGTTCCATCAACAATCCTTGTCTAGGCGTGCCGCCAGGCTGGCACACGCCAAATTGAAAAAGGAGGGGGAGGAAACAGCAGCAGCAGGAGGAGGAAGAGGCAAGGGGGTACGTGATGCCGACTCTCGGCAGCAGTGCTAGGTTGTTCGCCGCGCGGTACCCACCGAGGTACGTGGCGCGCGGGCAGGGCAGCACGGCGAGGCCCCACCCCACGGAGGTGGCAGGAGGCCACGACCGAGGGGAGGGGGCGCACTCATCTGTGGGAGGACTGCTGTCGCCCGACAAGCGGGGTCCATGCCCCACAAGGCGCAGGAGCCAGTCGCACCCGCCCGCGCCAAACTGAGACTGGGACCCGCAACGCCAGGCACGCGGACGGGCGAGAACGATCAGGCCGACCCCCCTAGAGAGCGAGCAAGGGGCACCTCATCACCCCGAGACAGCAGGCACGGCGGTAGGGGTGCGGCGGGGCGGCGGGGGCGGCAGCACGCGCGCCCGCGCCGTCGCTCGCTCCCTGCCTTCCCTCCCGCAATAAAGCGCAGCATCCACGCACCCCGCAGGCGAGAGCGGCAGCGACAGGAGCAAGGACGGAGAGAGACTTACACAGAGGGACTCATCCCACAAATCCCCCATGATTCAGCAGCCTGGTGGCTCAAAACACAATCGGACACAATGCATACCCGGCCCGACACAGTGACACAGGAAAAGCAAACAGTTCGTGGGCTCCACGGTGCCCACCACCGAGGCAAGGATGCAAAGAGCCAAACCGCGCGGAGCAAGAGGAAGGAAGCAAGACCCAAGGGCAGGCGAAGCCAGGAGAGCGACCGCCGAGGGCAGGGGGCGCGACCACAGATGCCTGGACACCAGCCTCGAGAGAGGGTCCGCGTTGCCGAATCAGCACCCTGAGAGCGTTAGGCATCGCGGGGTCGACTGTACCAGGGGACAGGGTGCACACTGTGCGGGTGCTTCACTCGCTCCACGCGGGAGAATCGGAGAGGGATGATTCCCGCACGCGGGCCACGGCACGGCCAGGCGCAACACTACCATGGCGAAAGGAGAGACAGGACCAGGAGCCAGAACCGAAGGCGCGGAAGACCAAGAACAGCAGAAGCATGGAGGACAGACAAGTTGTTCAGCACCCCGAGGTGCGGAGGACGCAGTCATTAGCGTCCCGAGGAACGAAGCACCAGACACGTTCTTATATCTCCTGGCCAATAGCCTAACGAGCATGAAAAGACCTGTTCAGGTGGAAGAACAGTGCCCAGACGGTGGTGGGAGTGCGTCTTCAGAAACGCATCCCGGATAGCTACCGCAGCGATATGACGATCCAGCCCCCGCTTCGGGCCCAGAAGGGCCAGCATCAAGAACCACTAGTCATCGTTCACCAATATGTCCTTCCACCGTCCTGGCAGGTTCGAAGCACCTGGGATCCATTTAATAGCCAGCGACCGAAAGGCAAAACATTGTTTATAGTGGAGCATGTCGTCGGGCCCCCCGCATCGAAAACAGCATCCTGCATCCTCACAATGAAACCTTGCCGAAGTTCAAACACCCCGAGATAAA